TATATTATATATAAAAATAATTGTATATATAATTTATATAATTGTATATATAGTAATAAATTTATATAATTTATATAATTTGCTTAATTAATTTTTAAAAGTTTATAAATTGAAATCACCCACTTACTGCAAGCGGACTAAATTTGTTCTCTCACTTATTAAAGCTGCAAACCGAAACTCATTTACTTCATAAGGACATTAACAGGCTTAAGAGAAAAGGATTTTCCAGGGTATTTCATCTCGCATTTAACGTTAAATGCTCTGGGACAGCCATTTCGATTCATAGGGATGTGCAGTTTGGACAGACAAACACAATTCCAGATAATACCGATCATTTTATAATTGTCCAAGGACTAGTTCGACAGCTGAGATAGGCCCAAACACACCCACAATCGTTGTGAGATTAAGCAGCATGGATAATGGATGGATGGTATGGGCGTAGTAGGAGGGGATGGAACCCATTTGGGCTAAAATGGAAGGCTATTCTGCCCATCCGGTGTTGTTGGGGAGGCAGTAGGGCTGATTCGTTTAAGGGGGTTAACTGTAAACCAGATGGTGTGCCGGTCAGAGCACAGGTATGAAGAGACAGGATTCGAGGGTGGCTTTCAGTATCCTTTACTGGAGATGTTGCAGTGAATACAGGAAAATACAAACGATAGAGGGTGATGTTGGTTGAGATGATTGTGAGGGATGATGAGGAGGGCTGAGGAGGGATGATGAGGAGGGGTGAGTCTACAAATATGAGAAACTGGAATTAACTTCAACTTCAATGTGACAACATTCAGAATATTCCTGGACGCAACCAAGGAATCACATAACACTGGCAGGGTAATGGCACCATCTAGGGGCCACACAAATTAACTACACTTGTGGTTAATGACATGCTAACCAACACACATATGCAAACAAATTACACCCGGCCGTCGTCAGGACGGGAAGGAGCTACGGTCGTCGCACCATTAACGCATAGTAACATAAAATTACAAACAATGCCTCGATATTCTCAGTTTAATCATCGCGAACCGCGGTGGCCCGATGCTAGCGGGCTGATGTGGCTAACTGGCTCACGAACACGAGCCGCAACTGGCTAAATATGACAAGCACACATCGTTGTACTTACGTTTTTGTCATGAACTCAGGTCTTAAGGAATCACCAATTAGGTAAGGGTTACAAAGGAGTTTAGAGCAGGGGTCCCCAACCGCCGGTCCGCGGACCGGTACCGGTCCGCAGGGCATTTGGTACCGGGCAAATGACGGCGGCCTTAAAAGTACGTTCGAGACAACTGGATTAAAGTTATGGCTGAATACTCTGAGATCGCCACAATAGCACTGTTGCTATTTCCGACATCCTACCTGTGTGAGGTGGGGAGTTTCTGCAGCAACGGCGACGAAAACAAAATTACAAAGTAGACTGGACATAAACCACACACTTGAGGTGTCATTGTCTCCTATTACCCCGAGATGGGACCGTCTGGTTGCAGAAAATCAAGCTCGGTGCTGTGGTGAGTCGTCATTTTCATGGACTTTGAATTTGCGTTGTATTGTATTTTGAAGGCATTAAACATTGCCATAGCGATCGGAGTGTTGCGGCCAGATTAGACGCTCCTTGTGTTTATTATTATATTTCGAAAACGCCACAGTTTTCATGCAGCTCATACCATATTATTTTGTTGTATTATTTCCACCACACCTTAAATGCCGGTCCCTGAAAATATTGTCTGACATAAACCGGTCCGTGGGGCAAATAAGGTTGGGGGCCCCTGGTTTAGAGGACACAGGGCTGAAATCGCACTGAACTAATAATATGGAGCATGACACATACCCGGAAACTGGCAAGGTGCTGTAATAACGCGATACTGTACCTGAATGCGTGAACGTCTCGCGGCACCTGAATGAAGGAGCGGGTTGAGCCTTTGCTACAGATGTCTTTACCTTCTTTAGTGTGTTCGCCACTGCCGCTCAGTAAGCAGCGCATCACAAATCATCATAAAATGATGTGGCGGGCCAGATCTGACCCCCGGGCTTTGACTTTGACACCTGTGACTTAAAGGCTTTGTTTCAGCTGCAGCTGTTGTGAAAGCGCAATATAAATGAAAATGTATTGTATTGTAAAGTTAGGGTTGACTCTATTTTCATTTATTCCTTTAAAAGGTTTGTTAATTTCACAGCTTTGAACGTGAATCACAGTCATGCCTATGACAACAGCAATCAGAATATATGTATCTGACTATAGACATGCACCGCCATGTCATAAACATGAGCATTACATGATTATTAGCATGGCGTAAACAGATTAATCATGCGAAGTTGGCAGAGTAAGCACAGTAAACGTGATACAAGCATACATCTATAAATATTGCATTTCAATGTAATTTGGAAAGATGAAAACTTCCTGTGTCCAACCCTTGGGGTCACTCCAGGTTCAGCAATGCCAAACTGGCATTAAAGCAGCATCCCGTGATGACATACATTTGTTTTGATGAGGCGTCCTCCATCTTCAAAGAGAGACAATGTCAAAATCTCTGGGCCAGGTGGGTTGGAATAGACAACAAATTATATGTAGAGGCTGGAGAATTGTATTAAAGGTGGGTCAAGGGGAAGGCGTCTTTGTCACTCTGCTTCACTCCTACCCTTGCGCTTTGGAACAGCGGCTGATGCACAGCTCTGCCTAGAATAATTGGCTTGACGTATGCTGTATGAGACTATTTGTTAGGGATTAAAGACTTTTCTGTGTCACTGATGCAATAGACCTGTGCGTATTCCTGAGCACATCAATGAGCACCTCGGAACTCCACCAAGGTATATGATTTATTGGTCAACTGGTTATTTAAATAGTGTGGAAATTCCGCCTTCTGGTCTGCAATGTGGGGGTCTTAGAGATGTGGAGAAGCAGTCACTTGCAGGGTATTCGTTACACTTAATTGAAAATCATGTGAAACAATTGCTTCAAGAAAGGCTTTATTAATTTTACATGCAAAGCTTGATTGGTAGTAATCAATTAGTTTAGCTTGGAAAACCACATAAGAGCTGAAAAATACACAGCTATATTGATATTTCCATTTGATGGCAACATTTCCCTCTTCCAACGCACCTGATTCAGATGAACAGCTCATCAGCAAGCTTTGTAAAAAAATGATAACGAACCTGATCATTTGAATCAGGTGTGTTAGAAGACGAAACTTCTAAACCGGTGGTTCTTAACCTGGGTTCGATCCAACCCTAAGGGTTCGGTGAATCAGTCTCAGGGGTTCGACAGAGCCTCTGACATGGAGGTTAAGGCAGTGTTTTTCAAACTTTTTGGGCCAACGCACACTTCTTTCATTGAAAAAAAATCTTGTGGCATACCACTAGCTGAAAAAGTGAAAAAAAGCGTAATTTAACAATTAACGTGTTATATTGTTACTATAACCGTTTTTTTAACATTGAAGAATGACGTTATAACGGCTTGAATTTGAATCAAATAAACACAAAGAAAAAAGTATTGTATAATCTTTCATATTTATTGTTTCACCGTCGTCCTGGATTCATGCGTCACAAATTCGCTTGTGTCTTCTAGTCTAAACACAAGCTAGCTGTTGCTACTCCCTAGCGGTATGGAAGGGTACTACACGATTACTTTGCCGGGCGATCGACACACAGGCATACAAATTGGATATTTTCCCCCTGCACAGCTGACAATGTCTCGCGGCACTGGCAGAGGGTTTGAAAAACACTGGGTTAAGGCACACCCGACTCAATATGTCAATTAGTTATGACACGCCCACTTGGCCATCACTGGTTGGTTCATTTTGTGCACAATTTAAAACTTATACTGTATACTTATACAAATTGTGTTTACTTTTTTATATTTTTAATAAATGTGCTTTTTTTGTCTTGAATTTGAAAAAAAAAAATTCATATTTTTATTTTTCACGAATGATGGGTTCGGTGAATGTGCATATTAACTGGTAGGGTTTGGTACCTTTAACAAGGTTAAGAACCACTGTTCTAAACCAAGCAGGACTGCCGCTCTCTCGGACCGGAGTTGCTTGCCCTTTGAAGTAGACAAACAGGTAATGTGCACAAGTTACTGCTGAACAAAAGACACATATTGACAATGAGGGAAAACAGAAATAAAATCACTGCCATAATGCAGAACAAAAATTTGGAAAAGGTCGACCAGAAAGAGAAAACAAGGTCCATACTGGCATGTTATTCCACATTTTTCTTCTAAAAGTATACTCACGCAAGGTCTGTCGAGCCCCCGTTGTGCACAAGGGCAAGCATGCCAGTGAACATTTCCGGTATAAGGAGTGATTTATAGCTGCAGATGAGACATGCGACACAGGTGCCTTTAAAAACCAACGCCGTGCTGAGTATTTTAACAAGCAACAAGAATCTTTCATCTCTGAGGTCCAAACAGTCCTGTGCTTCTTCACTGCTTTCACCACAGGTTTCACACATACCTGTAAGTCTGTGCCTCTATGTTGAAATGAAGTGGATTGAACTACAGTATCGTCAGACGAACCCAAAGCTGCGAGAGCAACAGAGCGATATGAATCTTTCAGTGTGGTACAGCAAAGTAGTGACCCAGAATGTTGCCTTCCATGGTAGAACAATCAATGTGATGCTTATATTCATGAAGTTCAAGTGTTGCTCTGCTGAAGTCGCCTTGGATGATGAGGGGTGAAACTGGGTTCCTTTGTTCATTCACTTGGTCGACCAATGTTTGTCGCGAAACATTCGCGTTATCTTGTGGTTGGATGTGAACTCGGGAAAGCAGAAATGAGGAAAACTCGAGGGTTGAATCGAATGACTTACCGTTCATAGCGACTCCACATCCAGGCTGGTGTTGTTTGTTGAGCTCCGTGACATCGATCCTTACACCATTTTTGTTGGTGTTGAATCGTATTCCGCCAACAGCTCCATGACGCATGGTGAATTTGGAAACCGGGCAAATTTACACTGATCCAAATTTCTGAAAAGCAGAGAGCAGTAGAACATTCAAAAACCTTTTGAGGAGGAGAAGCTCCTTTTGTTGGGCAGGGAGCATAGGTTAATCGATGGGAGTGGATTTCAAAATCCTCACTGTTGTTGTTGTTAAATTCAGCTTCTTTCATCTTCGGCAGCTGGCTAAAATAAATCCTCTCCTTTCTCAAGAGCACTTTGAAACAGCAATTCATGCCTTCGTCACATCCCAGCTGGATTACTGTAATGCACTTTCATTTGGAGTCCGCCAATCCTCCATTTAGCGTCTCCAGTTGGTCCAGAATGCTGCTGCTTGCCTCTTGACTGCCACTCATAAGAGGGAGCAAATAAGTCCTCCTCTGGCATCCCTTCACAGAATCCCTATACATTTTAGAGTTCTATTTAAGATCCTATTATTTGTTTTCAAATATTTAAATGCCCTCGCCCCACTTTACCTCTCAGGGGGGATCGAGCCTTTTCGGTCGCTGGTCCCTCCCTTTGGAGTGAGCTCCCACTGAATGTTCAGCTAGCCCCGTCGCTGCCCATCTTTAAAACTTGTCTTAATACTCATTTTTACTCTTTGGTGTTTGACTCAATACACAAGACTTGATTTTTAGTTTTACTCTTGTTGTGCTTTCTACTGTCTTAGATATTAATTTAATGTTTTATATGTTGTTGTATGAATTCTTTTTACTCCATGTTCAGCACTTTGTATACAGCGGCGGTTGTTTTAAAGTGCTCTATAAATACAGCTGAGTTGAGTTGTTGAAGCTCCACCTTCAACATTGCCTCCATGCGCCATAAAGAGCTGTCACTCCTCCGGCTAGTATCGCCGAAAAGCTTTGTGGATTTGTTGAAGTTGGTGAAAAAAAATCTAGAGTCGACTCCCTGATGCTTGGCACGTTTTCACTCATCTAAGTAGCATAGTGTCCCCTTAGATCAATGAAAATGATAAAAACGAAGGCAATACTGGAGAGCACATAACCAATGTGCTGGTATTTGTACCACAGCACACAAATCAGTCTGTGTTTATTAGGGGGGGGGGGGCGACCATTCTCACTTCCATTGTGTCTGCTTTGAGAGTGAACTGCTGCGTAAATATAAAGGGGGGTGAGGGACAATTGTTTCAAGATGTAACAGAAATCTGCCTGATATTGCCAACTGAAAATGTAAATGATTGCAACCTTAGTATCAGATAAGAAGTTAACTAGCTCTTTGGTTCTTTTGGTTTAACTTGCCCTTTAGTTTGCTGCTAAGATCCAAATTTGGCTTGATGCAAATTACCATGGGAGTTAGATGGGCAAAAGTAGCAGACATGTTTTTTTAATGTATTTATTCTCGCCGATGCCTTGAACACATCTTTACTCAGTTAGTAAATATCACCACTGCGTAATGCTTGCTCAAACGATAAAAGTATACAGTAGAGGATTAATTGTAATGGAAATAAGATGAGTCAAACCATCAGCATGCCAAAATTATTAACTGTAAAGGCAATGTTTTAAGTAATATTTTAACATCGCTGTTGGACAAGTGTAAATGTGAACCAATTACTGCTAACAATATCACTCATATATAATAACGTGTATGCACCCATATATTTGATGACATGCGATGAATGCTACGCGAGCAGGCAGGGAATTGTTGGCCTCACATATATGTAGCTGAATTTGTAGTATAATTGAGTCTTCATATATATATATATATATATCTCTCTCTCTCTCTCTGTCTCTCTCTCTCTTTATGTATATATACATATATATATATACACACACACACACGCACACACACACACACACACACACACACACACACAGTATATTAATGTTGTAGATTTTCAAGTGAGTTGTTGTAAACAGCTCCCAGCAATGAGTGTCATTCACATAAAGATCACCAACAGCAAAATGCACATGTAAAATAGGTACTTTGCTGAAAGTCTTTTTGTCACGCTAAAGTTTGTGCCACTCTGGAGGAATTATTTTTCCTGGACATTTTGTTCGAATTTCCAAACTGAGAGACTTTTGGCGCTTTGGACTTTGGAGGCGCTACTGTAGCGATAAATGTACCAAAAAAATAGGTCAACTGCGTTGTACAACTGGAGAGCTGTGTGCAATAAAAAAAAAATGGAAAGATGCAAGACATCATGAAGCCAATTGCTTTCACTTTTACTCCTGTCTGTCCTCTTGGTTATTTGGCCTTTATCCAGCACATATGTGCCATAATGCGGCTGTCCAAACCAACGACAGCAAAACGCTGATTCTGTCCCACGGGCAAATTAATGATCTCAGTGGGCACAAATGGGCCCATAATTTATGTGCCCGTTCACTAAGGGTAAGTAGAATCGGAGCAGTCACAAGAAAATTGAGGCTTTGCTTTTTCCGAGACATTGGCTTGATCTAATTTAGGCACTGCTACTTGCTGGACCAGAACCAATCAGATGCATTGCTTTGCAACACGTTCACACCCTCTCTTTTGTTCGCCCTGGATCCTGCTCTGCGTTCACTTCCTCTGCCCTTTTCACAGCAATTCAAAATCAAAGACCATAAGGCTGACTACACCCATCAGATGCTTTTAATGCTGCCTTGGTGACTGCTGGAGAAAAGTGCATGGCTGGCTGAGAGGGATGAGCTGTGACAGCACAAGGATGCACAATTTGATCTGTGAATTAGGGGCGTGAGCATTCTACAAAATTAAACAGCTCACTTTCAAACAGGCTGTCAGCCACTGTTAGCATGATCGTACTCCTAACACGCTCAAGCACATGCACGCACACGCACACACACACATGTACTACTGTATACACGTACACACGCTTAGGGCTGTCTGATGTGATAGAAACTCATTCCGCTCAAAAATTAATCAGCAGCTCAAGATTAACCTTTAATAGAGAGATTTGAGGGACAGTGGGGAGACATAAAAGCAGACATGACTTAAACAAATACCAAGTACAGCATGTGTACACTTTTGAGAGTTCAGTCAACCGTGGTCTGACGTATGTAATTGTAATGTCTCCTATTTAAATGCCCCGTGACATTTACAGAGCGCAAAGTCATACATGAATGAGCCACCTTAGACACCACAGGCACACTGTGAAGAAAAATCATGCAACAATGCCAATTATACTGTTGACAGACATTGTGGAAGAAGATGGACGGTGTTTTCATGACCAATACTGCGGTTCTAGTGTACAAGTTTGTTTTTAGTTATGTGTATGAAGTACAATTGATGTTAATTTAAGGGGTGTTCACACGGCACACATTTGCTCTGGTGCTGCACCGATGTATTTTGTTGCGATATATCTTACACCGGAGCAAATTTTGTGGAGCGTTCACATGTACAAAGCCGCTGAGCATGTTAGCACCGCCGCAGCGCCGGTGCAGCCCCACTTGGGTTCACACGGCAGTTTCTGCAGCGGAGCAAAACGATAGAAAACAAAGAGCTGTCGTGTTGGTTCTTTTTAAAACATATACAACTCAAGCAACTACTGTACAGGCACGTCCTTCTCCTTCTTGGTCTCCGTGCCTTCTGCTCGAGAGGCGTTCAATGACTGCCCCCGAAAACGTAAATCAACAATGACTTCAATGACACTCAGAAAAGCAAACATATAATGCGCCAAACAGAAAATCAAGAGAGGAAATCACAAAATAAATTCTATGGGGG